CAGGTTTCCCCATGCTTAGTTTTATGTCGTTGTTAGTTTTCACTTTGATTTTATCTGTGACAAATCCAACGCACACTGTGGAGTTAATGGCCAAAATAGTCATCCTCCGAGTGGATATAACATTTCCACTTGTCCCTGAGCTCTACTTAGATCTGGCTTCATTTAAAATATGGGACCCTAGCAGTTTTGAGAAGGTGCTTAGACCAGCTCCTCAGGGACTCCACCTCAGCCAGCAAATCTGTGGTCTCAGCTACCTTGAGGGGATCCAATCCCATCCTTATTCTCCCCCAACTACTGAGCAATGTTTCACCTGCGCAAAGGCAGTGGGGTTGGAGAAAGCCTCCCTGGAACATCCAGAAGGATGTTGAACATGGACTAAATTGGGGTATTCCTCTTTCAGTGCAGCTCATCAATGTTACAGGGCTTGTATCTGATTTTAAACACACATATTGCTTGGGCAACAAAAGCCAAGATGATATTGTGGGAAGATATTGTATGAATTCTGAATAAGAGAAAAACAGCTGCTTGCTTCAGTCTATCATTTACTACTCATATCAGCTTATTTTCAAGAAACTAATCACTGAAAGCCCTGAAGTGACTGGCAAATGAGGCAGAAAAAGGTTCACTGAGGAGAACACCCCCAAATTAAGGGCGGAGACATCAATTAAGAGAAATGGGCAGAAACATCAAAGTAAAGTTGCTAGTATTGGCAGCAAACATCACAGAAGTACAAGGGAAAGATGAGAAAACAGACAACAGATGTGCAGGCTCAGTTTCAGGAATGCTCACAGGCTGCTGCACACATTAGCCATTAATTTCTATTCAGCTGGATAAGCAAGAAGAAAACCCAGTACTGTACAAGAATGATTCAAGGGAAAACACATCCACCTTTCAAGAAATTATTCTGAAAACTAGAAGGTGCAGTGAACCACTTAAGTGTAATGAGCATCACCGTCTTTTTATTTGTATTTTAATTGTGTTTTTTATTGTATTCAAATTGTTGCAAGCCGTCCAGAGACCTTTGGGTAGTGTGTGCAGCATATAAATTAAATAAATACTGTATATAATAAATAACATACATAATCCCTTAGACGTATGAGGTTAACTAAATGGATGCACTTAAAATCCAGTTACAAAGCACTGATAGCTACAACAGGTAAAAATCAAATTGGGCTCCATGGACACTAATTCTTTTGCTAACAAAGCTGCCATAGCTGGGGTCCAGGCTATCTGATGGATTGTTTCTTGACATGCAAGCAAGGTTTTAAGATCTTCTAAGAAGTCCTTCTCTTGGCCCCACTAGCCTCTATGGCAAGTTTATTGAGGACTAAAGAGAGAGTCCCCTTCTTGGATACACATAAGTCCACATAAGGAACAGATCTGTATTATAAACTCAACTGACTGTGAACCAGAAGAACTGTGGATTGAAACCAGAGATATTATTAGGGAAGAATGCAAAAAGACCATCCCTGTAATTAAAAAAGAAGAAAAACTTAGATGGATGATGGAAAAAAACACTTAAAATTGTAAAGGACCGGTAAGAAACAAAAGTAAAAGGGAACAGAAATAGGGTCAGAATCCTGAAAAATTTTCAGAAACTGTCATGTCAAGAAAAGAGAAATACTACTGCAATCAGTGCAAAGAAACAAAGTGGGGGGAAAAGAGATCTCTGCCAAAAATCCAAGAAATCAAAGGACAATTTAAGCCTAGATTAGGAATGCTAATGTGATAAACTGGACAAGGTGAAAATAAAGAAAAGGTGGAAAGAGAATACTGAAGACCTATACAGAAGGGAACAAAGGATGAAATTCCTTTGAAGAGGAACCCTATGATGAAGCACCTGCAGTTCTAGGAAGGGAAGTGAACGCTCTTCTGAAAGCACTAGGAAGAAGTGTCACCGGAGCAGACAGAATACCAATAGAACAATTTCAAGCCAGAGACTGAATGTATTAAAATCTGAACAAGAATATGCAACAAATATGGAAAACAAAACTATATTCACTATACATTACAGTTCACCTATTTCTCTCATGCTCCATACCACAAAATCTACTGGGAACCCAATCCCTCTGAGAAGAAGAAGAAGAATCTGAGGAAAGCGATGAACACATATGCACGCTGCTATCTGCACCAGGTTCATGGACTCATTGAACCTGATAGGAGTTTAAGGATCTCAGGTTATGAACATCTGACTAAAAGGTATGTTAAACCACAATGTCTTAACTGGGGAAATGCGACTCAGTGTCTAGTTACAATCTAGAATATGAAACAAGGATAATATCAGTCCAACTCTGATATTCTTTTCCACACAGGGAAGCCCATATGTGATATGTATTCACATAAGAAAGCATTTGAAGTAAAATTAGACATCCTCATTAAACAAGTGAAGGAGGAAAACTCCTGCCATCTCCCTACAACTCAAAAACTGTTGGTGGAAAAGCCAGCAGTTGCATTTCCAAACAAAACATGTGTGGATTCAATGAAAATGCTGCAAAAGCAGTTTCAAAGTAGATTTAAAGAGCTTCATCTCCATGAACAGGACATACAGCTTTTCCGGAACCCATTTTCTGTTGACACTGAAATTGTTGATCCAATTTACCAAAGGGAACTGGCCAAACTACAGAATTGTGACTCTCTGAAAGACACATTCAAGTCAAGCAGCCTTACTAATTTCTATGCATCTCTCCCCTCTAAGACATATCTTAATCTCAGGAACCATGCGCTCAAAAAGGCAACCCTCTTTGGCAGCATCTATGTCTGTGAACAGACCTTTTCTCAAATGAAATATCTGAAATCTCCAACCAGATCCAGCCTAACTGATGCACACTTGCATCACTTGTTACGACTAGCAGTGACAAATATGGAACTGACCATCTCATTAGCCAAAAGCAGGCCCATACTTCCCACTGAAATACTAATAAGCTTATGTTGATGAAAATTGTTCTTCATTTTAAATATTTTCCCCTCCCGGGGTCTCTTTTTTCACTACAAATAATATATGTGCAGTGTGCATAGGATTTTGTTTGGATCAAGTAAAAAAAAAGATCCAGAAGAAAATATTCAAATATAGACAAATAATGAGCTGAAATATTTTTTATTAATAAAAACTTGAAATTACATTCCAGTTCCCTCTTAAAATTTTTTAAAAGGATCCTCTTATATATTTTTTACTTAAAAACTCATTCAAATAATTAACTGACCCCTATCAAGTAAAAAAAGGGACCCAGCTCCTTTTTTAAAACTTTGATCCATTTCTTCATATTTTTTTCAAACTACCGTATTTGCCGGCGTACAAGATGACTTTTTTGGCCCAAAAACATGCCTCCAAATGGGAGGGGGGTTGTCTTGTACTTCATTTGGGTCAGGAAGGAGCTGCCGTCGTTGAGTGACACTGGGCCACGCCGGCCGGAGAGGAAGGCAGGCGGTCGGTCCGGATGGAGGGAGGGAGGGAAGCAGAGCCAGCCATGCCTGAGCGGCCAGAGCCTGCCGCCCAGCGCTGCTGAGCCAGCGCGTCCGTGCGCCACCAGAGAGCTGCTTCTCCTTCCCCTCCTCCTCCTCCTCCGCCCGCTTCCCTTTCCTTCTCGCTCTCACAGCTGAGCCAGCTAACCCGCTCGCCACCAGACAGCCGCTTCTCCTTCCCCTCCACCTCCTCTGCCGCCCGCCCGCTCGCTCGCTCGTTTCCCTTTCCTTTCCTTCTCGCCTTCCTCGTCGCCGGCCATGAACTCTATATTTTGAGTGGAAATGTTGGGGGGTTGTCTAATACGCCCAGTCGCCTTGTAGCTGGCAAATACGGTATAGTTCTGCCCCGCAACAGTCTGAGGGACAATTAACTGATCCCTGTTTAAAAGTTTGAGGGCCCCTACTTTACACGAATAACACAGTATCTCCTTCTCTAGCTGAACATAAAATGGTTATGTTTTGCTAACACGGGTACACTCCTCAGTTTACATAAAACAGAATCTTATATTGTACCAAACTGGCTTTAAAAATGTAACTGTTGGCTCAGTGGTAGCAAGTATGTTTTGTATCTGCACCTTTTCAGAGGTATAGCTGTGTTGGTCTTCAGTCTCTTGCAAGAGAAACAGAGTCTGGGGACTCCATAATGAATAAAGGTTTAAAATTTTTGTGCACTGTAGCTCATCTGAAAACATGGAATACAGTTCACAAAAGTTCACACCAAGTAAAACTTGTTACATTATAATCACTACTACAGAAGCAGGAAAGAAGATTTAAGTTTAAATTAAAACCTAACAATCCAGCATAAGCAGTTGTACTAGAGCATATTGGGCAGCACTAAGTTTCACAAGGAATATGCCAAAATGATAGCCATGACACAAACAGATAAAAAACTATCATCTGAACTAGAATGCCACACATCTACCATGTGTTTATTTACTAATAGTGACAGACAGCCAAAACAATAAATTAATCTGGCCCACAGTATCTTACACCAGCAATCTTTCAAAGTGAAGTGATCTTCTTGGTAAACAGCTGTCACAGTCCAGATGGACATTTCACACAGTGGTGTATATATATATTGGACATACAGATAAGAATGCTAAAGTCTGCCTTATTTCGAGAATGCAGATGCCATGTTATTACATGCTGAGGAGAAAGCAGTGGGGAAACAGACTGTCTGCTTATCTAGACTACCTCCCTTGGCAGCTTAAGATTCTCTTCCTCTTCGATTAGAAATGCATTATCCTCATGGCTGGGAAGCTCTGTCAAGAAAAGCTTCACTTGTTTCATGTTAAATATGGAGCATGGCATTAAGGAAGAGATGACTATTATGAAGGCAAAGAAGGTATTAAATGTTGCATTTAGTTGCAAGAAAAAGCAAAGAGTTCTGTGCCACATTAAAAAGAAGTAATTTTACCACAATAAAGTTGTCTTTAGGATGCCACAAGTCGTTTCTAGTATAAGCTAGATTCGGAGACCAATTTTAAATAGGAAGGTAATTCTCTGAAAATTATATGAGGGATTCAGTTCCAAGTACTCACCATGTCCATTGCAATAATAGATCCATTTCTCCTTGTTTTGGGTTGGGGTAGAAGATTTTTTCAAAACAGACTTTTCCACAATTGAACTGGGATCTTGTCTTGGTCCCTTCTTTAGTGTCCGTGAACTTTTTCGGACACTGCATACAACAATCACTACAAGAACAAGCAGCAGCAGTAGGACAATCATCCATGGCAAGTGTTCATTGATATCAAAATGCTTATGGGCATTTTGCCTTGGGGATCCTCTTTTAGGCGGTTTATAAGGAATGCTGGATTTTACACTGCCGCTCATTTCCAGTGCTGGCTGTCCTTTCAGAATGGAAGGGGTATGTTTGTGGTAATGGATTTGCTGATGATTTAAAGGCTTAGGGGTGTCCAGAGAAGTCACACTGTCAGGGACTGTCTCATTCTTTGCAGTTTCATTATCAATATCTGTTAGTGTCATCACGTCAGTGTATGTACTTGGGGGAGGGCTGGCAGCAAAGTTGGAAGCCGAGGAGTTCACACCTATGGAAGAAACACAGTATTAGAAATGAAGCAACAAGTATTTGTTCTACATAATTTTACTCTAGTCTTGTCTTGATGTCTGTCTGTACATGTGCATGCATTTAAAACACTCAATCCACAGACCATCAATATAATTCTATCAACAAAGCTGTTGATAGCTTTTAGAGCCCTTCTTATTTAAAACAGCAGTTGACAATGTGTTCAAATTCTGTATACAAAAAAAGCAGCTTCTGTGCTCTGGAAGCATATTCATCATCTTCCAGTCAGATGCACCTATTTATCTAGTTAAAGAATTAAAGACGGAGTCCAAACTGGATGACTTTTGACTTCCTCACCCAAACAGCACAATCTATTGCACATCCACATGGTAGGATGTCTAAGTAGTAGTTTCGCCTCTGCTTCATTTGGGGAGAAAACAGTAAGACTGAGGAGACACAGGACACAAACAAAGTGAGTCCGCACTAAGGCAGAATGTTTGTATGTAGACGTCTGCTTCTGCCGAGACACTGGACAACTTCATTCAAACAAGCTGCTAGGCTGCAGTGTGGCCCTAAATGTTAAGAATGAGCAATACAAATCTGCTTTAAATACCAACTTTAAATGATACAAAAAATGTTTAATAATCAAGTTTGGATCGGCACAAGTGGGTGGGCATTTGAGACAGAAACTCATTCAGTAGCCTCTTTTGTTACGTCAAGAGTTCTAATACTGTTAGAATTAAAAGTGAGGATGATCAACACCACAAACTTGCTTTGTTTTTAATAAAGGTTTAAACATTTTAATTGCACCGTAATGATGCAGACAGAGATCGCTTTACATGCATGCACATCTACAGACACCAAGACAAATTAGACCCAAAGAGAGACAAATTAGAAAAGCGCACCATTGAAACCAATCAGAGCCTACTCACCATCTTATAATGAAACAAGAAAAGTCATGAAGAGACAACAGCTAATCTAGTAGGTATAAGCTTCCCCAGTCTGATAGTCTCAGATGTACCACACCAATCAACTCTGTATGTGGGCCATCCTAGATGGAGCTGATATGAATTGTAGTACAAAGCATCTGGAGGGCACCAGACTGAGGAAGGTTGGACAAAAGACTTGAGAGAACAGGTATTCTAACAATGAAATCCTATGCTTATCTACTTTAGATCTTCCACATAAACAAATCCACTCCCAAGAACATGTATGTCAGATTGCAAACTAAGATTTCCCTATAACCACACAGCCACAGCGTATTTGCCTTTCCCACCTCCACACATGGACTCTTGGGGGCATGGAACTGCCTGTATTATGCACTGGACATACAGAGAAAGTAGACAAACACAAACAAACCTCAAGGTGGGGAGGCTAACCACAGGTATAACCATACCACTGACAGGCTAGATTAAATCTTAACACTATATAAAGTGGATGCTTAAGAGGCTTCTCGACAGAAGGCAATCCAGGTTGCAGGTACTGCTTCTTCCCAAGCCCATTCCTCCAAATAATACCTTCCATATTGTTTTCATATGCCTGAGAGTTGCTAATTTTTTTATACCAACCTTTGGGAAGAACAGAAGTAGAAGCCGCTTTGTGGAGTTCCTTATCTTCCTCTGGACTTGACAAAAGGCCGGCTGCATTATGGAAAGTTGATGGAGGCCCACAGAGGTTGTCCCTCTCTTTTGTTCCTGGTTTTATCACGACCAGATTATTTTGTGAACAGTTGGTTAATGTTTTGCATCTCAACACACTAGAAGGCACAGCAGAGAAAGTGCCACGAGGGCAAGGTTTGCACTTGACGTCTTCTGTGTCCGTTCCTTTCTTCCTTACGCCCCATCCAACAGGGCACTCTGAATAACGGGTGCAGTTGTTGTCACTGAGAAATGTACCAGGTGGGCAGGTGCATTCGCGGTCAGTTAAAGCAGTGCAACGTGTTCTCTCAACCATTGGCAGTATACAAGGCTTTCGGCATGTATGGCATCTCTCCACACCATTTTCATGCTTCGTGAAGGTTCCACTGCCACAAGGGCTGCACTCTCTTAAGGTTGTCACTGTGCAATGCTTAGATACATATGTTCCTGCAGGACACTTGTCACAAGACAGTTGCGTGTTAGTGGCACGATCAAGGTGGCTATATGTGCCAGAAGACAGTCTTATGGTATTCTGTTCAGAGGTCAATTCAGACTGAGCATCAGCAGTGCCAAGGAACATAAACCCCTGAAAAATACAGAGAAATGTAAGTCAAATCTAGGCTATAAAGCAAACTAGAGTAAACCATACCAGCTTTCTGCATCAGCAACATTTAAAAAACATGTTCTAGTGTCCCGTCTTACATATTGTTTCTGCTGATCTACCACTTTACAGAACATAACCGAAATGCAAGACGTATTACTGTGTTTGTGTCCATCTTGTCTACCTTGGCAACTGCATGGAAAGCCAACTGAATGTGGTGGTTGAATACTCCTGCTCAGCCATTCTCAATCTTTTTTTTAACCACAGCAATAAACACAATATGAAAGAAATATAGGCTGAATTAGGATTGTATAAATTACATAATGAATCTCATAAGGCCATGTATGAAGAACTATTTCCAGTCTGTGGCTCTCTCCAAATATGCTGTATGGCCCTCGCTGAAAATGGCCACTCTAGCTTCACCGATGGAATTAAAATGCACTCCTAGAAACACACATCAGAACTCTTTGTGTTGCAGTAACTCAGTTAGCAAGATCTATTTTGTTTACGTAGCACAATTCAACTCACAATTTTTAGGGTGGATTACAAATAAGGAAACACCAAGTGACATTGCAGTAAGAGGCAGCAGCAAAAAAAATGCTCTGTACCAGATCGTACCCAAGCAGGTAGGTACCAGTGAATTGCCACTGGGGCCACTTGCTCAAGGATGCCCTGCACACAGAGAACTGAGGTAGCCGAACATGCAGATTAGCAGAGCTCCATCAACATAGCCTGGGGGGGGGGGAAGCTCTGCGTCATGTGGGCCTTCAGGCAGAGTTTGAAATTTTACTTTTAAAAAGAATGGAATTAAGCCATTAATCTGTAACTGAGCAACAGCAGGATGATGTTGTGGGTTCCAGAAAACCATATCACCTCTGCTCAGTTATGAATGGCTTCTGCAAGTCATTATATTCACTCTACTTAAAAATAAATCCACACATTCTGCTTCCAGCAATTGAAATACATTAGTGAGCTACTCCAGAAAGTAGGCTTGTTCAGCTGGAGAGCATTCGCCTGAACAGACTGAGCAACACTCTCCTAGACATGAAATCCCCAACTGAGTACCTTCAGTCACAAGGCCTATTTAACTTTCCTTGGCATTCACCAAGGCCCTTTGTCTGTCTGGATTTTAAACTGTGCTCTCTTTTTTAACCAATAAACTGGATGTGCTGCAAATCAAAGTGGCAAACATTTGTTAAAACCTCCCCACAATGCTTCTAGACTCAACTCAAACTCAAGAACCTGTTTTCAAAAGATGAAAATGCTAGCAGCTACAAGACAGTTTTGAAGCAAGCTCCCAAAAGGTACACTTGGTGCAAACATATTTCTAGGAGCAGAAAACCTGGGGCTGAGAGGGAAGGGAACACAGAGACATCTCCTCTCACACTGTCAGAGTTGGGGACCTTATCCAGATCAAGAACCAATGTACAGTAAATTGCCCTAATCCAATCAGTGGTGCAACACAGAGCAAAGAGCAGGTCCCCTGCCCCAAGCTGGCAATCTGGGGAAGTGCTCTTAGAAAAAGAACTGTACTGCCCGGTAAGTTTTTGGGATGGAGAGGCCAGCATGACAAGCATTGGTGAAAGGGAATTATGCATGTACACACTCAGGCCAACCCCTTTTTCAGACTTGCAAGTACGGAATGGGTGTTCATGACACAGATGTTCTGCTGCAGCAGAAAACTGCGTCCAAAGGAGTGTCTGTGATCTTGACCTCAGATCGCATCTCTGCATTGTTTGGCTGGCTCTCTGTCTTTTAACACCACCAATCTCTGTGAAATAAATGTTGTGTAAGAGGCTTACACAACACTCCTGCCATGACACTTTTTTTTGTGGTGAAAGCCATAACAGTTTTTTAATACTCCAAATGTGCCATCAAGCTCAAAATGGTGGGGATACCTGCTCAGTTTCACTGTGACGCCAGATTATTGCCAGCACCATAGTCTTTTCAAAGAGGCTCTGTGTTGTGAAGAAACCCCAGCAAATTCCTTCTGTTCGTTCAGGCTTTGAGTGTAACCTCATAAAACTACATTTCACAATAAAGACTTGGATCATAACCCACAATTGCAAATCCAGCTGAACATCACATTTGAAACACCTCTGGGCTTTTATTCAGTATAAGATGGTGATGAATGTATGCATTTTATTGTGCTAAGACATAGATTTATTCTAACAAAATTAATGTCTGCCAATAAAAATTTCAAGCTATATTTCAGTCATACTTTGAAACCTAAAACTCTCCTTGGCTGACTTAAAGGGGAGGGGCGGTTGGATTTAATGGCCTTATAGGCCCCTTCCAACTTCATCATACAGTATTACATAAATAAGAGACTTAAAGCAAACACTGTCCTGGCACCACAATACCAGCAAACCTCCTCCCCTGCTCCCACTTCAGTCCTTGGCATTCTATCAGTGGAAATCCAGCACCAGATCCTGCCCATAGTTGCTAAATTAGATTAGTTCAGTTTCCAAAGTGGGGAATGGGGGAATTTAAGTCAAATGCATAAGCAATCCCCTTTTATTGAATGAATAACATTGACAATTTGGGTGTGTTGCCCTCGGAGTACAGCCTTTTTTGGAAAAACAAAAAAGAATCTGTTTTCCGTTCATTTATTGTAACAGAAGAAATCTACAAAAACCATCTCAGTATTTAACTCTGCACTAATAGCCACAACAACATACATTCAACTGTACAAGGAGAATAAAACCCATGAGCTTTGCAACAAAAAAAAGCATCATGTTGTCCTTGGAAAATGCTGAACTTAAATGTCATGACAACAGTACATCTGACATCAAGGCAGCCACGCAAATGTACAAAATCCTGAATGTATCTACAGATTAAACAGTAAAATGCCGATGCAAGGGAGAAACACAAATACACAACTTTGTGTTCTATCATACAAGCCTCCTAAATGTTAATTCCAGCGCAAAGATAGAAAACAGGAAAAAGGGTCACAAACAACGTTCCTTCTAAGCTGTGAGGATGCCCAGTGTTGTATTGGCGCTGCACACCCGGAGTTAGTGTTGTCAGGCACTCATTTGGTTCTGGTCACAGCTGGAATTTTGCTCATGCAGGGTCGGGTTTCTGCTCAGTGCTTGTGGAAAATTAAAGGGAATGTTGGTCACAAGCCCCTTCTCATTTTGAACAAATACTAACCAAGCTTATTGCTTGTGAAGACATGGTGCCTTGGGCAGAACCGGGAAAGACTGCTGCCTGACACTGGAGCCATTGGCAGTCAGTGTAGCAGACAACACAGATGCACATGGGCCATTGACCTGACTTGGTGAAAGGTACTTTCTTGTATTCCTAATGATGCAATAGTAAGTGCTGACAAAAGGGGGTGAGGGAACAAGATGATGGCAGCCTTTGCTTGCACCAGCCCTATTCAGATGTTACATCATTTAGTGTTGGGAACACATAAAGAGGAGACCACTTAGCCCTGCCCTTCATCACCATGTTCTTTTGAGAATACTGTCATGGTGCTTTTCTGATGCAACACCAGACTAGAAAAGGAGAGTAATTTCTGTGCAGGCTATACATATGAGCAACAACACATGAGATTCTTAACTCATGTGTACAGCCTACACACAAAGATCTCTCCGCTTCAGATCTGGCATTAAAACAGCAAACATAATGGAAGTTGATGTATCCCCTGTGCATGTTCACAGCGCTGGGGGAGGTCCAGATTCTAACCTCCAACAAGTTATGAAATTCACTGGATGGTTTTGAGCTAGGCACTCTTTTCCACCATGCCCAACTCAATTGATTGTTTTGAGAATAACATGAGAAGAGTTAGGTATGTATGATGCCTTGATTTCACTGAAGAGGTTATATATATCCTTTTCAGTGAAATCAAGGCAATTGAGTTGGGCGCACATGTGTCTGTGTGTGTGTGTGTGAGAGAGAGAGAGAACTTAATTAATAATTAACAAAATTAAGATACACAAACATGTTATGTAGGCACTCTTACAATAGGCAAAAAGCGCTAAAGGATGAAAACTAAGGATCGCAGAGTACCTTACATAAGGCTAGGGATGTGCGGTTGGATTTTTTGATTCAAGCTCCTAGAATTCTCAAAGTATCTTTCAGGCAGAATTCTGGGAGGTCCAGACCACAAACCTGCACATTCAGATATCTGCATTTCTTTTCCCTGGAGAAAGGCCTACCTAGGCCTCATTTCCTGCCACAGTACTTCCTGGGAGGAAGCAACCGCGATGGTACCATCAAGAGTGTCTTAAGGGCACTGAGGCTATGATGCCCAGAAAGCAATGCAGTAAGACAAGAGGCCTAGAATGCAGCCTCTGATGTAGGGCTTCCTCCTGGTGAGGTAAAACAGCTGTAAATGGAGGTCTGTGGACCAATATTCCCGAATCCTGCCTGGGAAATTCCTGGAGAATTCTGGGAGTTGAGAATCTAAACAATCCAAAGGGAACATATCTCCATAAGGCCAATTAGAACATTCATGTCAGGTGAGGTCTTAGCTGACACTTCCATCATTTTCCCTGCAAAGCCTGTTGCTAGAGGAAAATAAAACATTAATGGTAACATGGAAAGGAAGGAAGAGTCCTTTTATAACTTAAAAACAACCACCTTTATAGTGGCATAAAGTTTTATGCACTATCTACTCCATGTGCAATATGCTATCATTAACTGAACCAATATGAATAGGATTGCAAATTAAAAAAATGGTAAACTATGGTGTCCGCTAGGGTGAAATATATAAGCAGAGGTGAATATTTCAAATCCTTCACATCTGGAGAACCAGACCATACAGGCACAATCAAGGGCTCTGATTAGCAAGTAATTGGAATGCCATATTTTGAACTGAGCAAGATCTACAGAAGAGGAACGTGGATTCTTTTATTCCTACATAAGCCAAATCCAGGGCAAACACCTTTTTAACACCCTTTCGGTGTAAACCACTGCCACCCAACTTGGTTGAGCCATTACTTTGGAAACCTTAGCAGCTCACAAATGTTGCCAGTGTTTTCTGACTTATGCACAACAGCAAAGAACATCAGGAAAGCAGAGGAATTGCTGATATTCGTGATGAGGACAAAAACTTAAGGAATCCCTTGCTTTTGTTTCAGCTTCCTATAAAGCAGCTAATAGGCATAATAATGTGAGCATTTTTCAATCGACATCCATATTCAAGAGTGAGGCTGGAAGAAAACAGATGGACATCCTTATCCCCAGAAGTGAGGGACCGGCAAATCTGGACCATCTTACGAAAGGCAGGAGGGGAAGGGAGGCGCCACCTCATCTGAACCGAGGAGGAGCCGGGCGCTGGTGGCTGCAGCGGAGACAGGGGGGGATGATTCATACGCTTTTGCTGCAGGGGCTCTGGTCCATGACTTAACAACTTCCCCTCTGCACCCGCATGGCCGACCAAGAAATCCGGCTTATCCCACACATGTGGGGGACCCGAGCCGAGGAGGTTCCTCTGACTGACAGCCAGGATTCACCTAGGATAAACGCTAACATTTCTCTCCTTGGGACTGGCCAAACCGTCCAGGTAGCAACAACAAGGACTCTGAAACGTCTGTCTATCTACCTATCTATCTAGATTTTCCTTCGCCATCAACCTGATCATAAGAAACAAGGCTTCCAAACACACGAACAAGCGACGTCACTGGCCTCAGAAACTGGGGTCTTTCCATGCTATTTTTTTTAAAGGAAGAGAAAATCATCCTCTTGCTAAAGGCAAAGATGGGTGGCGAGACTGTGGAAGACGCGGCTTCGGAAGCAGCGGCACCGCCGGGGGGGGGATTGGACATACTGTACATACGCCGCCTTTCTCCCCCTAGTGGACTCCGGGGGACCACAGTGTTTCCCCGGTCACCGAGCAGAATCCCTTCCGGAGGGAGCGGGCCCTTGCCCGGAAGCCGCCCAGCTCTGACCTCCCAGTGAGTTGCAACCCTCTCTCCTCCCTCCCTCTCTCTCTCTCTGTCTGTTTCTCTCTCTTCCTCGTTCCCCCTCTCAGGGACGAAGCAGGGCTCCTACGCCTTGCTGGACGTCCAGGTGGGCCTGGTGGACTGGATGCTGTGCTGGCGATGGCTCCGTAGCCTGACCAAAAACATGCTGTGTGCTGGATATGAGCAAGGTGGCCGGGACGCTTGCCAGGTAGGAGGAGACCCTGCCCCAGCCAGACCCGCATCCCCTTCGGAGAGCAGCCTCTCCCAGACTAGCTGCAGTGGCCGAGCCCCCAATGGGGGTCTCAGGGCAGCCCCCTCCCCAGGTGACAACCCAGAGTCTCCCTTTCCAGCATCTAGCAAAGCCATGTTGGGCACCACGTCAACGTCCCATTGCCGGGCAGCGAAAGGAGGGCAAGCGGGCGAGGGAAGGCGGGGCGGCGGGCGCGGGCTCGGCCAGAAGGGCGCGCCTGGGCGAGAGAAAGCGCGGACCGCCCGGGCCAGCCTTCCAGCTCCCGGGAGCAGCAGCAGGAGCCGGACGGCTCCGCAAGAGGAATTGCCGGCTTCCCATAGCGAGCAGGGGCGGCAGGAGATTCCTTTCCCCCCCGCCCACCTCACCCTCCGGCCGGCTTCCGAAGGACCAACAAGGGCGGCGGAGCTTCTTCGCCCCGGCGGCGGCGGCGACCAGTGGGCGGAGAGAAAGGCTGCCGGCCAGTCGGGTGGGGGAAAGGCGCGGCTTCCTTTTGTGACATCACTGTCCCCCCCTCAGGGAGGCTGCTCCGCCCCCTCCCTGTTCTGCCGGGGGAGATTCACCTGGCTGAGGCGAGGGGCCGCGCTGTCTGGGTGGGTGCTAGATCCCCAGCAGAGGCGGCCCACTGATTGATTTGGCATTGAGACAGTTATTCAGTGCGTTTGTTCTTAGTTGTGACAAGCAGTGGGATAGTGGCGACGATTTCTTTTTCCCCCAACACTTGGGATGCAGTGGTGTTTGCAGTCCTGAGGTTTGTGAAAGGGGTTTTCTGTTGTGGGGAGAGAGAGAGGAATTTCAAAAGGTCGCTGACAATTTTAAATCATTTTTTAAAAATTAAATCATTTTTAATATCCATATTGATTACCTTTGCATTTGGCTCTGTGACCTCAAAATACAGTTTAAAAGTTTTTAATATTCATGTTGACTATACAGTGGTGTCTGCACTTACAGTTGTGTTCAAAATTATTCAGCCCCCAATGCTGTAAAGGGGTTTAGGGACTATAGTGTACATTTGGAATTGTATTCAGAATGAAATCCTACAAGGACGTTTTAAAGAACCAAATGCAACTAAAATAACATCAATTGTTTATGTAATACAGTAGTAAATGTTTCTTTTGTGGTTTCTTCATTGCCACAATTATTCAACCCCTTAAAGACTACCACTCTGAAGAAGAGAGGTTCATTCAGGTGTTTTCGAACAGGTATTGAAAACACCTGTGGATGTCACCGAGCACCAATCAAGCATAAAAAGCACCAATTAGGCAGCTTTAAAAGGACTGTGATACTCAGCTCCTTCTAGACATTTACTGGTGTGGTTACAAACATGGTGAAGTCAAGAGAATGGTCCAGGAAGACAAGAGAAGAGGTGATTTGTCTTCACAGGAAGGGCAATGGCTATAAGAAGATTGCAAAGAAGTTAAACATACCAAGAGACACCATAGGAAGCATCATTCGCAAATTCAAGGCAAAGGGCACTGTTGAAATGCTACCTGGTCGTGGAAGAAAGAAGATGCTGACTTCGACTGCTGTGCGCTACCTAAAGCGTAGAGTGGTGAAAAGTCCCCGTGTGACTGCTGAGGAACTGAAAAAAGATTTGTCAGATGTGGGTATAGAAGTTTCAGCTCAGACAATAAGGCGCACACTGCGTAATGAAGGTCTCCATGCCAGAACCCCCAGGCGCACCCCCTTGCTGTCTCCCAAGAATAAGAAGAGTCGACTGCAGTATGCCAAAAGTCATGTGGGCTGAAGCCTCCCTGCAAATGCACACACATGCTCTCAGAAGCAGAAAGAGGCAGTCCCAAGCGTCCAAGGACAAAGCACACTCTAACTGCTGGGGTGAAAGATTTACAAAGAAGCAGCCTCGTTGCCACCTACAGTTAATAATTTGAATTCCCCGCCTTTCCCCCCTGCCTTTTCCTGTTTGTAAGTGGAAGCTCCAGTGGCAGTAGAAGCAAAATTCTGCAGCCAGAGCTGTTTGTAACTTGAAATGTTTGTAAATAGGGATGTTTGTAAGTCGAGGCACCACTGTATGCCCGTTTTTACAACAACAAAAAATAATTTTTGAATTCAAGGATGGGAAATATTTTTACTGAGTTTTTTAAATGTTATGAAGAAGATTATAATTTTCAAGTCTTCTGGGCCTCTTCATCAATCTGGGCATAACAAAGCTGTTTAGGGGAGAAACAAAGTCCAAAAATCATGTTGGGCACCTGGCAATGGAGCCAGAGGTTGGGAGTTTGATTCCCCACTGAACCTCCTTGTAGAACAGCCAGCCTGTTTAGCCATGGGCAATCTGCACATTTCCAGAGTGCCCCCCAAAAGGAGGGTCTGCTGTGACTACCGTATTTTTCCATGTATAAAATGACATTTTTTCCTTTAAAAATTTGAGGAAAAAATGAGGGTCATTTAATACACGGAAGGCAGCTCTTTACTGCTGCCTTTTGCAAAGGCATGGGGCTTAGCAAAAAGGAAGGGGAGGCATTGCTCCCTTCCTTTTTGCTAAGCTTGGTGCCTTCTCAAAAGGCAAGGAAAAAGGGCAGTCACTTTGACAGCCGCTTTCCTTGCTTTTTGCCAAGGCACAGGGCTTAGCAAAAAGGGAGCCCTTTGATCCCTGTTTTTTCTAATTTGGGGTTAGAAAAGGGGGGTTGTCTTATACATTGGGCCGTCTTATAAATGGAAAAATACGGTACATTGTGTCTAGAAAACCCTGGGAAGGGTTGCCATAAGTCAAAATCAGCTTGATGGCATAAAACTTTTATTGCTGTTTCTGAAGCTCACCTTCGGATATTCACAAACTTAGTCTGATCTATCTCACAGTATAGTTGCAAAGATAAAGTGGGGAGGATAAAAACCAGATAAGTTTGCTCTGAGCTCATGGGAGGAACCGTGGCACAAAAATCTAATAAATAAATAAATGTTCGAAAAGGGAGACTCCAAACTTGAGAAATCAGTTTTAGGTGTGATACATTATCAGGTTTTACATCAAGAGATGTAGAATGAATTGTCCTCCTCCATCTCTGTAGTCAAAGGGTAGCTAACTACGAATGCTCCACTACTTTCAGTTGAAGTACATGGTGCTTTTACTGCCTGGAAGAAGCAGCACCCAGAAATATGTCAATCGCTGTATAAGAAAGGCTGGATATTAAATTTAGGTGAACCACTAGGCAGAAACAGCCAGTTAAAAGTCAAATTGTGAGTATTACCTAGCAACTGAAGGAAGATGGAATTATTTAGGTGTGTAGTACAGTACACTTTATCTTGAATACAGATCTCCTTGCTGCCCTCTCTTATAAATCTTAATAGTAAATGACAGCAGTTTAAAGAAACTTGGGCAAAACTCATTTCTGTATAACACCTTGAACTTCCATTTGCTTCTCCAACCTTCCTACCTCATTGGATAACTCAAAACCTGCTCAAATATTCCTGATTTAAGAAATGACTCACTATGGGAACTCTGCTGGCAAGGAATAGAAGAAGAAAAAACTGGCTTGGGGGAGGGTTAGGAGTTTAGATCAGAATTGTGCTGAATATCAAGGGCCTGAGATTCCCTTGACTTTACTAGCCCATGTTTTTTTGTGTTTTTACTTGTTAAAAGTCTTGTTGGTATGTCAACCACTCAAAGTCTATTGTTCATTGTTCAGAGTTTATTGTTTAATCAGAGCTGAGGAATTGTTTGCCCAGACAAGATGTTCTTGTTTACTAAGGAGAGGCTATTCTAGGTGGCATTTCTGAGTTGCCACTGATTAGATTGGTTGCTTATTTAAACTGTAGAATTGTGAGTTAATTTAAAGAACGGTAGATGTCAACACTGTGTATATAACTTGCTAAAAATATTGTGAAAACAAAGTACATATAGGATATCTTTTTTAGTTTTCTGTTAAACATTTGTGAAAGTAAATTAAATTACATAAGCAACCTCCCCCTCCTCCTCTCCCTCTTCTTCTTCTTCTTCTTCTTCTTCTTCTTCTTCTTCTTCTTCTTCTTCTTCTTCTTCTTCTTCTTCTTCTTCTATAAAAGGTACTTCTATAAAAGTAGTACCTTCATATCTGGTTTTCTGTCCACCTTCCTGGAATATTGCTTTCTGCTTAACAATATATATTCCATGTCTGGGTACTCTGCAAAGGTTCTTCAGATATCATATAGGAAGTTTCCAGCAGCTGGGGCCAGGTAACACCACATTATTTATTTTACTTTATTTTGCCTCTGCAGGTAGGATATATATTATTGTATGTACCACCAAGTCATAACTGACTTATGACAACATTAAAAGGATTTTCATAGTAGTGTATGTGAGATATTCACTGGTGCCATCCCACCAGTGAGTGTGGAACAGAGGCTAAGTGGTGGACTTTACATCAGTATATCCCACCTTTGAGAGCAAGTGTGGTGTAACGGATAGAGCATTGGACTAGAACCCAAACACACTTTGAATCTCTGCTTGGCCAATATATATTGATGGTAAATTTACCACTTTACCCCCAGTACCACATTCAGTGTCATTAAGGACTTAGCATGCTTAGCCACGATTATCTGCAGATTATTTTCAACAGCAGCTGAAGGTCTGCTCTGTTTGACAGAACATGTTAAAGTCAAATAATTTATTGCAAAGCATGGATGTCCTATTGTTTCGGGGGTGGGTAACCATAATGCCTGAGTTGCTTATATGCCTAAATGTAAGTTATTTTTATTGATTGATTGATTGATTGATTGATGGATTGATTGATTGATTGTATTTATACCCCGCCTAGCTAGTCATTTCGACCCCTCTAGGCGGCTTACAACATAAGGATAACAAGTTCTAAAAAAATGTATAACAATTAATTAATTAAATGATTCTATAAGATAGGAAAAATAAAAGTAAATCAAATAAAGAGAAAAGAAAGGAAAGAGGACAGGAATTAACTGGAAGGGAAGGCCTGCCTATACATCCATGTTTTTAGTTGGTTCTTAGAAGTATCCAGCGAGGGCGCAGCTGGAATCTCTGGAGGAAGGTTATTCCAGAGACGAGGAGCCACCGCCGAGAAAGCCCGGTTTCTAGTTCTTTCTTTCCAGGCCTCCCTAAGCGTCAGGCTCCTCAGCCTCACCTCCTGGCTTGCGCGGGTGACACGGGTAGAACTAATTAGCATGTGAGACAGATAGGGGTGTGGACAGAAAAATTGCAGACTCGTAATGTTAGTTTCTTTCTTATCACATAATAGCCAATTTAATGATCTGGATGTAATGGGATAAAGAATTAGCTACAGTAATAATACAGACAATATATTGTACTGACTATTCTCCCTTCCCCGAGAAACTGTATTATTTTTATCAAAACATCTTGAAATCCTGTGAGGCTGAGAGTAACCTCAAGGATACTCTACAGCAGCGGTCCCCAACCTTTTTGGAGCTGTGGACCAGCTGGGGGGAGTGAGCTGCATGCGTGGGGAGGAGTGAACTCCAGGCGGGGGGGTCACAC